GGTCCATATCTTAACGGAGGATATCAGATTTTATTTTAATGACAAAAGAGAACAGCGTTTCTGTCAGTGTACATGCAAAACAGTGTTCAGGATGGTGGTTACTGGAGTTGGAAATTCAAGGCATGTTGTGTGGGTTTCCATTCCTAAAAGCTTTTTGTTTTGTGTATCCATCTGCCCTAACGAGTGTGTACAATTATCTGAATGCTTAGTGGGTTCGTTACAGCTGACGTGTAAGTGGAGTTAAGGACAGGAGTTCTGCCAGACTTTGGAATTGTTATAAGCTGCCTGTTTACTTTGACAGCCGAGTTTCTCCTGAATTTTGTTGGCTAGTCTAGTTGCGAAGCGTTTTTTGGATAACAATGGATTTGCTGTTAGTTTCAGCAAAGAAATGGTAGGACACACTGCTCTCGGAATATCGATAAGCACAGGGCACCCAACGGCTCATTTGCGGTGGGATTTAAATGAAGTGGTTCCCTGCTTCACTCGTCTTTATTGACTTTGCTTGATTAAGTCACAGGTTTATATTTTCACGTCAGCTAATACAGACAATCATGCCGTTTGTTACTGAAGCCTTTGGCTTGCTTTGGCTAGCAATATCCACCCAAGGAAAAAAATTGCATATGACACACAGTATGTGCCTGATTGTTCTGCTGTGGGTTAAAAAAAAAAACATAAAACAGACAATACTACAAGAACTACATGCACAGATGTTTTAACATTAGCATTCATTGGAACAAAATGAGAAGGTTAGAACATTAGAACGGAGATGTGTTACTGTATGTATACGGTATGTACTGCAAAATGTAGTTGTCTAAATGACAGCAGCAAATGTAAAGCTCGTTTTTTTATTTCAAGAATAGATGCTAGATGAGATGGTGTAAGAAAAAGGTTTATTCCTTTCCTTAAAACATTAATCATTTTTTAAAAATTGAATTTAATTATATATAGTAAAGGAGGATCGCGGTGTACAAACAATGTTTTTAATGGATTCAGTAATGGCAATATTCATTTGATCAGATGAATTCAAACATCTAAATATAATCTCAGTCTGGTGACAGAGTTATTTTAGCCTTTTAAAGCGACCACTTAGAATTGGCTGAAGCGAAGCATTGTGAACCTGTCATTGTACAAATGCCCTAATCCAACAGCACATGGAACCAAAATACAAGCCAGGGACTTTGAATTCTCTGATTACTTCACTGGACTTAATGTGGGTTGCTGAAGTACACAAAACAAAGCCAGTGATTTATTTTTATATCCCTGTAGAATGGCCAGCATTGGAGGCCTCTAAAAAAGGAATGCTTGACTTTCTTCTTCTATTTTTACCCTTGTTCTTTGAAGAAGCGAGACAGGAATCTAGGACCTCTGCCTTCATAACGAAGTCGTGCATTGTAATTATCCAACTCTGGTGTCCAACTGCTCTGATCTCTAATGATCCCTGGGCCTCATTACAAAGCCATACAGGCCTGCCTCTTCAGACAGGCAGAGCCACATTTTAATGAAGCTCTTCTTAGAAGGGGGTTAGTTTAGGGGCTGCCAGTCACTACAGAAAGCGAGAAACAACATTCAGAATGATCTCCACGTTTATTCCAGGAAATCTGATAGAAAGCGTACGAAGCCAATTTAGAAAGGAGTGATTGCAGTGGTCATGAACTGACATTAATCATGATGGTTAGGAATAATTGTTGAAATGTTCCAAGAAGTCACTTCCTTTTGATATATGTATTTTTTTTGCCTTAAAGAAGTATGTTTTACTGTCTTTAGATAAATGTTGTATATGTTCAAACTGATATTGTTTATCAGGTCACTCAGCTGTAGATGAAAGATTTCTTTTGTTTGTGGATGATGGGTGGACGCACCACTTTTTGGAAAGGTGAATTTCTTAAACTTATCATTTTAAATGCAGCATAACAGGACAAGAGCTGCATGGAATCTACAAGGACTATTTAAAAAGAAAGATCAATGTTCAGATGCCTATTAAGTGGTTTTCATGCTGTGGAGCATTAGCCCCGTGATGAGAGATTTCGTGAATGCTGTGTTAATAGGTATTGAAAACTATAGAACACCTTCATGCAAAGACTATTACTGAGAGTATTACAGAGAAAATACTGCGGTATGAGAAACTGTCTTTAATCTATTAAATTATATAGTGGGCAGACAACAGCAGGGTCCTGGGTTCGAATCTCACAATGAGAGGTCTGTATGATCTCCCAATGTTTTCTCCGGCTGTTCTGATTTCCTCCCACATTCCAATGATATGGCGAGGTTAATTGGTATCTCCGTTTGCCCCCTCATACACAGTACATACAGAATGTGAATGTGTTACCTGTGATGTACTGGCATCCCGGCCAGAATGCAGTCCTGCCTGGCACCACTTACCAGTGGAGATAAGGCTGTAACTGCAAGAGGGTAGAGCCCAACCTGACAATTTCACTGCGTGAGGCCTGTCAAATCTCAATTAACAGGCCGAGTCAATTAATACTGTATAAAGGGGTAACGTGCTTAAGATTTTACTGTTGGGGGTTTACTTGCCTTGGCCATAAGGAATGAACCAGGGAGACTCCTGCATGGGTGAAGATGAGATGGAAGGAGTGCTGTGAGAAAAGATGTGCTATATCAGCCTCAGCAGAAGAAATAATTAGATTAGAAGAAGAAGAGTCAGACACAGTAACAATTTGACCTTTGTTTAACATTTTCGTTTGTGGGAACCTCTGTTACCCCCATAAACTAGTAATAACAAATTTTAAACTATTGAAAACAAAATAAACAATTGAGTTCCAGCTCAAGTTAAAATGCAAACAGGCAAATTTTCACATTCTCATTACGTGCCTTGAAAGAAGACAGGCTACATATTATTGCATTGATTTGTCCTTAAATAACCTTTGCCCCAGTACGAAGCTCGTTTGATTGATTAAATTATTGTGCTGTGTGGTGTAGTGTTTCCAAAGATTGCTGCTGATAAAAACACATGCTCGCAGCATTGTGGAGAAGGACATGAAGACAACATTATCCAGACCAGCTGAAACGAAATGGAAGTACATTCACTGTTGATGAAAGAATGAACTTTTTATAACCACAAGCATGAGGACGGCATACAAGCTAAATAAACCAGGTCATGCTCTAAGAATGGGTTTTCTGATGCTACCCAGTCATGCTCACGAAGACTGAATTATCCCTATTGGCATTTAAACATGAGGTACAGAGGCCTCTACCTTTTGAAAAGGATGTAGGTTGACAGTAAATGATTTTTACAGGACTGCAAAACTCTGCTTGTCTCCCTTGTGCTGTCGTTCTGATTTGTGAAAAACATGGTCCTCTCCAGGGCAAGGTGGTGTTGGTCGTGATGGCTATGGATTTATATGTCAAGTTTGGGGCCTGGAAAAAAATATTGACAATCTTGTTCACTGACAAATTACAGCACCTGACTGCATCTGCCAAAATGAAGAACGTAATACCGTATAACATTTTAGGTGATACAAACTCTGCACAGTATTATTCCTTGCATACTGAGCATTGAAATAATATGATCAGTCATAACTGGAGCATATTCTTAAAGGTCCTGTCAGGAAACTGACGAAATGAATTGTGCTATAATATTCTATGCAATTCAGGATAGCATAATCAGGATGCTCATTGACATTTGTCATCAGCAGTGTTGATCAGCACGGGTTGTGCTGTATAAGTAGGAGTACAGACTGGTATAGTCACGATTGGAACCAATACAAACTATAATCTATGCTTTGACCCATTTTGGAATGCTTTCCAATTCCTCTTATAATGCCTGGGCATGCTTGCATGTGTCTTTACTGTTCTGTAGAGCCTAGATGTCACATGGTATCCCAGCTCATCCCTCAGATCTTCAATAGGGCTCAAGTCTAGCGAGTCCAGGCGTACTGTATCTGTCCTGTTTGCATATTGCATAAGCAACAAAAGAGTGTGTGTTGTCCTGCTGATATGTGGTCATGCCATAGATGTTCCTAATAATAGATTAATTCTTAGATTGTGAGCTGTAGACATTTGAGGTAATATGTGTACTTCATTAAGAATTGCTTAATGGACAAAAATGGATAAAGGGTAAATTGTCTGATGTAATAAGCGGAGTACCTCAGGAATCTGTTTTAGGACCACTGGTCTTCTTAATTGTATCACTTGCAGGCAGCAGAAATATTAATTGCAATTATAATAAGTGAAACACCAAGACTGTAGAGGCTTACATGTGAGAAAAACTGTGGTGTTTACATAAGCACAATCACTTTAAACTTTTACACACTGGGGGGGATACAAAATGTGAACAGAATATTAGGATAATTAGTTAAAAGCATAGTATTTAAATCTAAGAAATGTGAAATTAAAATTGTTGAATGCTCTAGTAAAACGTTATTTGGTCACCAAGATACAAAAAATATTTCCATTCTTAAATCAATCTAGCAAACAGCAGCTAGGTACATTCTTGGAGTTTCCAGGTTTTTCTTACACTGACAGGCAAAACAAATTGCACCTTTTAAGTCTTGAATGGGGAAGGCTACGATTGAACCCGATTCAAGCATTCAAAGGCAGTGCCTTTAGAGGCTTTAACAAGGTCATTTAGCAATATTTAATTCGCATTGATCAAATTCTTCAAAAACCTGGTCATAACAACCCAATGTGAGCTGTGCAAGAGCTGTCAGTATGAAGTCTTATAGTAGCTAATGCATCATGTTTATCAACCTGTTACAATTGGCACATTGTCAGATGTGCCATGTCATTAACATTATTTGCTCCTCTCTAAATATCCATAAGCTAAAAAAATGCTTGCACTACAACTTGAGGATCTACTGTATCAAGATTAACTTGCACTAGCTCAAAATAAAAAGCTTGCCATTTCATTAGAGGACTGCCACAGAATTGTGCTCCTGCAGAGAGAAGGAAAAACACTGAACGAAGAGAGGACAGTACTGTATGTGTTTTTATTAAAACTAGCTAAGTTGTCAGGCAATAAAATTCCTTTTTCTGTCTTTCAGGACTTGGGTTTAGAAGGCACATCTCTAAATGATATCCTCTACAAGAATGCTGCCTTTCTTAATCTGGTTGACCCTATTTCTCACGAGTTGTTACTGAGCCTCGCTCGCGATATACAGTGCCCTAAGAAGGTAAGTCTGTAATGAAGAAGAAGCATCATTACGTGCTTCTCATAAGCTATAAGCGGATGGAATTATTCTGTAGTTATCAGAGCTCTGTATAGACTAGAGCAGATTTGATACACCAGTACAATTAAGTGATACCATAAAACTGAAAAACAGCCATTTTAAGTCTGATTTAAGTCTTTAAAGACCTCACTGGAGTGGATATTGGAATTGCATATTAGAATCATATTTCTATCCAAGTACATTCCCAGTGCCCCCAGTGCGGATTCTCATTTAACACTGCCTTTATTGCCAGACAAAACCGCAATTTTTCAACACCGTCTTACAGTCAGGGATTCATTAAATGATACACTAATTAAAGCCTGTGAGATGTTTCCACCCTGTTGCTGTTAAAAAAAAAATCATCTATATCCACCCAGCCTGACAGGTTCATGCCTTGACAAAACACATCCCACTGTCACTTTCAAGGCCAAGTTAATTCCCAGAATGCCAAAAACCCACTGCCTTCCAAAGCTCTTGGTGACAGCTTATCTATTTTTAACTAGTGATGGCCCATTGCTGAAAGGGTCACTCTGAGTCAACTGCTCCTGTCCACTTGTGGATTTGACAACACTTAGTGTATCGTGCCTGTTTATTGAAACAGTATGACACGTGTTTTCCTATCCACTGTGGAGGAGTCCTTTGTTAACCCTTCACTGTGCTCCTGTCATCAACACACGAGGTCTGGTCCCAGAGAATTTGGGGATGGCCCCATATTGTGAATTCATTTGAAAGAAGTAAAATCCACAGCAAGAAAAAAAGGCAAAGTCCATTGGATTAGTTGATTTTTAGTTTTAGTGACATATGAAAGTGCTGAGTGCATTTCCCATAGTGGTGTGCTGCCACAAGAAGAAAGGCAATGCAATTCTGGTCCTTTCATTCTGAAAACATAAGTAGAATTGCACACAGGTAGAGGCTTATTGACCCATCTTTTTTGTTTGGGTGTCAGTAGGTCATCCATCTCTGCCATTTCTTGACTCATCCCAAATATGCACATTTTGCGAAGGTTTTCATTGGCTGAGCAGAAACTCAAAGTGACTTTCCGAGCCAGCATGACACCCTTTCTAATGTTCGGCTCGGCTCCGGCATCAAAGGCACGTTGCGGTCACTCCGAAGAGCGGCTTGCTGGATTAAATGGCACACCAGGGGAACTCCAGCTGCAGCTCGCTGACTCGGGGTCTGGGCTGGTGCCACGTGCCATGGCCTGCAGTCACCTCTCACAGCCTGGCAGCAAGTCAGGAACTCTGATACCGTTGCTGATCTAGATCTCCAGAGCTCTTGAATTGCTGGTTACATTACTCCGAACACTTGCAGGGATCAGTTTTAAGAGAATAGCTAGAAGACCTTAGAATGTGGATTGGATTCTAGATGTGCACTTCTTTAGATAACCCATGGCCACCATGATCTGCTTAGCACTAGCACAGTGGTGTAGTCTGTTACGTTATTTTTATTATTCATGCATTTTGGCCTTCAAGCCAGCACTATCTTGTGTGGAGTTTGCATTTTGATGTATTTTTCTTGTTTCTTTTCACATCCCAGAGCCATGCGACCCATATTAATTGACTAAATTTCTGAGTTCAATATTGCAAGGTGCAGGCCCTTTGCTGCCAGATTAGGCTTTTAACCACCTACTGACCTCTAAGGATACAGTTATATAAAATAGTTGCATGGATTGATGGATTGCTCAGTCTAAAAAAACACTTTTTTCAAAGGTGTGCAGTCTTCAAAAATCCTTATAAACAGCTCAGGAGCTCAGATGAAAAGCTCCTGCTTAGGCTAGTTAAGTGGTTTTCAAGTAGAACCAGCTTTTAAGACTCACATGGTGAAGCACAACACATCAGACACATCAGACACATCAACACATCCCTGCTCAAGCCTGCTGTACCGTCCTGTGCAGTGCCTCCCTGTCTAAGCCTAAGCCTTATTTATCTAATTAGCTGCCTCGTGAAGAATTGTCGTTCCGTCTCGGGGAGACAGTTGTGTAACGGAGAGAGGCTTGTGCTCGCAGGCCTGTGAGTGGGTGGTTAATGCTAATGTAATGGCAGTTCTCCTCTGCTTTGACAATCAAACCACTGAAGCAGCAACAGAGAGACATTAGCATATTTTTTTCATTTCTGAAGTCGGAACACGATAGCTGACTGACATGTAAATAAGAGCACTGGAGGAAGAAGATCAACGCATTCATTTGTGTGACAAGATACCCCAGCTCTAGGGGGCAGGTCTGGCTTTTATTAATGAGTTAATACTCTCAGTCCCCTCTGTTAGAACCCTTTTGGAAAAGGTCTTTAAAACTGGGTTTGGCTTACTGAAATGCAGTAATACAGTATATATAAAAAAGTCTCACTTAAAGGGTAAAAAACTTGTTTTTCGAAACACTGGGTCGCTTTTGTTAATTTTCTTTTGATCAATTTTCATATGTTCATCGATCACAATAAATATGTTCCTCTTGTAGGAGTGGTTTATCCCCAGATTGCACAGTAGGAAGGAACATTAATCATTATCAGTATCTGAAGTTTTACCGTATTGTGTTTTGTGTGTTTAAATGTCCGTTTGTAATATAAATATAAATATTATTTATTGAGAATGCCTAAGAAATGAAAATAACCAATAAAAAAAAATATAAAAAGTAATTTTGTTTTAAATACAGAAGCCTCTATTGTGCATTATTTAATATAAATAAGATTAAAGAATCTGCAAAGTTAATGTCTGTAATGTATATTCTGAGCATCATTTGAAATTTATGTTTCAGGATATTAATATTGGATATTAAGTGTTTTTGGGCCATTTGGATTAACTGATAATTTATATGTGACTGATATAATTAATTTTTTTTAAGTGTTGCATGAGCACTAAATCGTGTCATTGGTGCGAGGGTTGATAAACCACAAGTGATGAGGTGATTTAGCCTGTTCAGTGTCAGGCATGGTGAAAATCAAGTAACAAAGCACAGAGAGGAAACGATGTGCCCCGCTTGTCAAGAGCATGCCTTTGTGCTGATACAGGGCACTGACACTTGCAGTGTTGGGCGTTCAAACCCAGCAGCTTCTAATCTGGCAAAATGTTATAGTCACACACAGTCTGTGAAAGATAGCCCATGATCTGGGAGACCATAAATCACAACATCTCCCATTATTTATCCCAGTGGGAATAGTCTGGGCAGGAGTGTCTAGTTGCCACAGAACTTCACATGAAGTGATTGAAGGCAACTAGACTGCACAGCAACTAATAGATCAAGAACCAGGTACTAACTTGTTGCCCCTCTTGTGGGTTCACTCTCGTGTGACAACCTTCCAGCAGAGCAACGCATGTATTCAAGCTGATTATGTGAGATGAACAGCCCTTTTGTGAGATGAGAATGTGACAACAGTGCTGAGGAAACACTGCTCAATTGACCTGAAACCCACTGAGCTTTAGTGAGATAAGATGGGATGATAAGTGGCATCTAAGGCTTAGAGTTCAGGGAACAGGCACATGGTTATCCAACCTACAAGAGATCCCACAAAACAGCATCTGTAATCCGGTGTAAAGCAAGATTAAGAAATGTTAATCTGTGTAATGAGTTTACCTTATCTGTTCAATAAAATGTCAGTTCATCTGCTACAAAAAATATGTTGCCATTTTCCTCACAATATCCTGGTGAGTTTGTTGCACATTTCATTTTATGACCAATGTGTATATACTGTATAAACACAAGCAAAGGGCTGAAACTGTTCAGATTTTAAGGTATCGGGGGAAACGAGCATGAATGGTTAATTGTTACGATGTACTGGTAGTTTTATTTAATTGCCTTGGTTGGGTTGTGTTGTTCATGGTAATTCGATTTAGTTTGCTTGGCTAAATTCAATCCCTTTAAAGAATGCGACAGATAGGAAGAAGGCTAAATTGTATTTTATTGTGTTGTGTAGTAATTGCTTTTAGGCTACAGAGTTCTATAAAAAAGAAAAGGGCTAGAGAAAACACATCTTTTCATTGATCATATTCAAGCCTCTTTCCTGTTTGTTTTGAAGAGAATAAGTTAGAGCTTTGGACAGGAATTAATTATGGTGGCGTCTTCAGCTCGACAGACATTATGAAAAGAGGACCATGACATTTAAAAGTGTAGCCAAAAACGTGGGAAAGGACATGATTTATTCAAAGCTAGGGTGCAATCTGAAGGCCACTACATATTTGTGATCCAGTGTGTTGTTCCATAACTAAAGCAAAGGGTCACTTTCCTGAGCACTACAGGCAATAATGGCAAGAAACCAGCTCTTTAATAAGATCTTTTGTTTGCAATAAGAGTTTTGGGCATGCAGTATAAGTGCAATACTGTATATTAATGAATGTAATAATTTATAACAAGGCTCAATTGGTATCTCTAATGAAAATAAACTTTTGATCACAATAGTTAACTTTGAAAACTCCTAGGTTTGTGTCTGCGTACTTATGTTCTGAATTATATCTTAAACGGATTTCTATTTTTAATGAAATTGTAAACGGGTAGGCATGGTGGCACAGTTGTTAGCATTGCTGCCTCTCAGAGCTTGGGCCCTGGGTTCAATTCTGGACCTAGAGTGCTATCTGTATGGAGTTTGTACGTTCTCCCAACATTTGCATGGGTTTCCTCCTACAGTCGAAAGACGTGCTGGTGGGAAAATTGCCCCTGCTGTGAGTTGATGTGTCTGTGTGTGCCCTGTGATGGGCCGGCGTCCCGTCCATGTTGTGTTTTGCCTTGTGGCTGTTGCTTGCTGGGATAGGCTCCAGTTCCCCTGCAACCCTGAATTAGAAGAAGAAATGTATAAAAGTAGTAATAATAATAATAATAATAATTAATTGGTTACACTTATATAGCGCTTTTCTGGACACTCCACTCAAAGCGCTTTACAGGTAATGGGAAATCCCCTCCACCACCACCAGTGTGCAGCATCCACCTGGATGGATGAGCAAAACCACGAACAATAGTTTTTTTTTTATCTAACCACTGGTCTCGGCTTTTCTTGCAGGAGCTGGACCCCTCGAAGTCCTCCGATAAGATATGCCGACAGCTGATTTACCATCTGACCCCTCACTCCAAGTGGCTCCGTCAGAGCATGCCGCGCAGGAAGTCACAAGCCTGGTGAGCGCATAATCCCTTCTTTTATTAGACCATCCCCCCGTGAGTCAAGACTACTCGCCAAAAGAATAACCAGGAGGTGTGCTTATTTATAGAACCTCTGTCTGAGTCCAAAACTTGTTTCTCCATCTCGCCTAAAGAGCAGATTGCAGTGCAGGTGGGTGATGCCGATCTTAATGACTTTTGACGCAAGGTGCTTTACATAGAATCATGCCCTGCGTTAGTCCAAGCGGGGTTAAAGAAAGGATAAGTTAAATACTTGGCAGCAAATGTAGTAAACAATTTCTGTGACAATGTTTATTAACAGTACCAGCAAGCCATCTCAGTGACAAAGTGTTGTGAGTTGGCGTCTGAGACATTTTTTTCCAGTACAGGAAAGAAAACTAAACTAAACATAACTAAAGGTATGTTTTTTTAACTGTTTTTAAATTTAAGGGAAAATTTAAAGGAAGGTATAATATGTATACATGTCTCTCAGTTATAGACTCTATAAGTTTTGTGTGTAGTTCCTCCAGTGTACTGCATATTACTGCTGGCAAGACAACTCTAGGTAGAATATCACAAAGCATGCTCAATTTTCTTTGGGTTTTGTGCTCTAAGCAGTCTTACATTGAAAGAAGTCTTTATACCAGTGTAAGAATATACTTAGCTGGGTTTAGTATTTTTAGTTAAAAATCAGTTTCTCCCTCAAGTGATAATACTTCAAGAGTACACTTACATCGTCAATTATAATATCTCATCGATTTTATGGATGTGCATTAATCCTCATACAAAGAAAAGAGGTTTACTTGGTAATTTCAGAATACATCCAGAGAACTTTAGCATAGAAACTACAAAAGAGCTGAGTTTAATCATTTCTTTAAAGATAATAAGGTAGGTGTAATCGCTGTTGGTTACAGTCTAATAAATGCATTGGAGAGCATTTGTAGATAAACAATGACTATTACCTGCAGAGGCTTCCTCTCTGAATCTGCCAGCTTATTATGATTTTAATTCTGTGATTGTACAAGCATTTAGTTGCTGGCTAAATCAGCCAATATAAATGTGGACTCTTCTCTCTTGTAAGTTAATAACTTGTTGATCCTTTTTGCTTTATGGGTCCCTAGATACAAGGGTTGGCGAGCACTGCCTGAATATAGTTATAAATATAAGACAAACATGCCACACTCTGACATTATTCCCTCTACATTATGACTCTCATTTTCTCTCAAAACGACAGAAGTCCAGTACCACTACAGTAGAGAAATAAAATTGAAGGACAGTAACTGCTCCTTGTATGAGCTTCATTTGCTCCTCAAAAACTGCTTGTAGGCTGAAAACGCGTGAAACGGAAATTGGATTTCCGTTATTTTCCACATTGCAAACTCTGTGTGGTTCCAGAACTCAAAAATGTTCTTTCAATCACCAGCGCTCACCTTAATATAGCACAGAACAGTACCTAAGTGTGAAAGCAATAACATCCCTGGCTAATTATCTGACTAACATGCTTAAAGTCGTTGGCTGATGCACAAACGACAGGCAGGGAAACAGTAACACTCCAACTCATTTAGGGTACAGTACAGCAGTAACTTCATGGCAGTTCTTAGCGAATGCATAAACATTAGGTACTGTCCTGTACTATACGCACTTAAGACAGTCAAGCCTTTATTATAAATAATAAAAATAAAATGCAAAAAATTCCTCACCCAAGAAGATGTGAGAAAAATAGAATCTCAACAATGCTTTGTTAGAGCCCAGCTTGTAAGAGTGAAAATCTGCTTTTTAAATGAAAACAATAGGCAGGAATTACTGTATTATTTCTCATATAAATGAAAACTCATGTAGCAAGCGATTACCGTACAAATGTTTACAAAGGACGTCTTGTTAAATTTACCTTGAGACTAGCAGTTAGCAGGGAAAATGACTTTGAGTGTTTGAGGGACTAAGGAACATAGTGTCCTGTCTTCTTGTGAACAGTGCTGTGTGTGAAAGTTGCCATCATATAATTCAGTCAAGTAAAGGGGATTACAGAATTCATAAGCGGGTTTCAGAACCAGGAGATTGAGGAAGGGGAGAAAGTAGATGAAGGGCATCTGATGGCTCTGATGTTTCTGAATATCAGTTTTCCTGTGTTACTGTTTCCAACATGTTTACATACTTTGATGGAAAAGTGACACCCGAGTTCCTCCAGTTAAATAAGTGTAACAGTGTGTAATTATCTAGTGTTCCTACACAGTTGTATGAGTGGGAATATTGTCAACCTTCTATGTGAACTTCTGTTAGGTCATGAGTGAAGCTCAAGGCCAGGCTGTCTTTATGTCAGTTGTATTTCGTGACTTGCTTTGTTTCACCTGCAGAGATTTTCTCGGTGTCACGACGGTTCATTTTAATTTGGGAGGCTTCTGTCAGGGTTTTTTTTTTGCATGTCTTTCACATTAGCTGTCTTGTTGAGCGTATATAGTGAGCTTCAGGAAAGACTACAGGAATGGACTGTGCGTACTTGTCCACAGTGAGATCTAGAGCTTACTGGATTCAGGTTTGTTCTGTGCAAACACAAGGCACCGTCTAATTAGAATTCTTTCAATGGAAATGGAGAACTGAACTGGAGGTCAATTCATGTTATTGTGGAATTCTAGTCCGTGTTTCTTTGATCTCTCTGGTACAGAGGCTTATTTGAAAATAAAAAGTGAAATGCAGAGAGGCCTGTTGCATTAACTAATGTGTTGCCATTGGTTACTGCAGCAGACAGACTAAAGATTCTGGATCTTTCTCCTATGAAGTTTGAATGTACAGTTGAGGGGTTAGGGGTGGAGGCGGGGGGGTGCAGTTGGCCCTGGAAACGGTAAATTATTCAGCTGGAGTGACTGCAGCTTTGAACTGCAGAACGATTCAGTCTTACGATAACACGTTTAATCGTTATTAAAACCTTATTAATCCACAGAATTCTCATGTTTTCCTTATTTCACCGCAGGCGTGCAGGAAGCAGGAGAAGAGATGTATTCAGAGAGAAAATGACTCTGTCTTATTCGTTTTGTCTTCTGTCAGACAGTAAAACATGGCTTCCATGGTCTGGTTTCTTTCACATGCAAGCAGGAGCTCCCTTCTCTCTGCTCCTGTTTTTTTTCCTTTCAAAACCACCAGTAGAACAGCCTCCTGTTTGAGGGCCCAAGTCAATGTAGTGATTAATATCTTGCAGACATTCTTCCAGTTGCTACATGGCTCGTGGAACTACTGCAGTAATTACAGGAACACGCAATGTATCATTTATCATTGCAATGCGATGCACATGGCACTCTGTCCTCACACTGAACTGAAAGCTTTTGGCATCAGTTCAACAGCGCAGTCTCATCAAACCTTGGCTGTCACGAATAAAAGAATAACCTTTTTTCACTGGCTATCATGTATGTGAGATCTAGGGATTTTCTTTAGATCTAGAAATTCTCCCTGGGAGGAAAACAAATATAGAAATCAATAAACTGGTGCACACCATGCATTTCTTAGAAGCCTAGATGCAGCTTTCAAAGGAGAAAGAAGCTGACTACTTCTTTTGTCTTGGTTCATCACAAATAGGCTCTTCAAATAGACACTATTTAGAGTACAAAGCTACCCATAAGTTAAGAAATTGATATAGTTGGAAATAATCATATTTGAATAAAGAACGACTCGCATAAAACCAGCAGTTATTAAGAAAATCTAACAAAAGAACAAGAAAATGAATAAAAGAATTTAGATCCACTTTTCACTTATAAGACACAAAAATGAATTGACCACTAATAAAAAAAAATACAGTGCGAGTCTGAAGCTTGTGGCGCAAAGATTGAAAATGCCATAATTTTTAAGAACGGCTCTCCGTGAAATGCATAGAAAAATAAGAAGTGGACGAGTTATACTGTATAATATTGCGCTGGAAAGACTGAATTAAAAAAAATTGATCTGAAAGAATGAAATCAGTCAAGTCTCACTATTAATTCTGAGCCAGTTTAATGGTAAAATGTAGTTCAGTTTAATGCCACAATCAATTCAGTTCAAAATTATAGCTTGACTTTTGTATCAGTCTGGAGCTAGAAATTACATACTAGTGGACATCATATATGGAAGAACAAGAATCACAAAATTAGCTATGCTCACACAACTGAAAATTACAGTCTGACGAGCTCAGGGTGGTTGTAATCAAAAAGGAGAGCTTAGATCTACCCTACCACCTAGCAAGGAGACATTTTAACAACTGTCTTTGCGCCTTGTTCTGTATCCAAAAGGATATTTGACTGTCAGTAATGCCAGAGCAGTACTGAGAACATTGTCTGTGTTCCTGGAGATATTCAGAGAAATCTGTTCAGTCACATACACTGCTATTCGGTATCCCATTAATAATATTCAATTACACAGAGACAGATGTATTGCCAGACTCTGGTCTGACTGACACTTGGTAAAGTGGCAGTCTTGAAACCTTCCCTGGCAGACATGAACACAAGAATCAGGAAATATAGCTGTCTAAATCTATGGATATTAACTTTTCCTGAAAATTGTGGTTTCCCTCACTCCAAAGTTGTTATAGTGAGCAGGAAACTTAGCAAACCCTTCATTTGGCTTAAATGTTTACAGACTTAAAATCTCAGAATATATATTACATTTCAAGAAATTGTAACTGAGGAAAATATTATGTTTATTATATATCTGCTCGTGCTATTTGCTTTTCCTTTAAAATCTAGAATAGGTCATTAACACATTATGATAACATGGTACACAACCACTATGCAGCAGCTGAATTGCTTTACTTAAGATGATAAGACAGAAAAGATGTTTCCAGGTAACGGTTAAATGTGGGCACCCTATGACTTTTGAAATACTACATTCTGTTGTGTACATCTGCCCTCTCCCTTTTGGCAGTTGTTAGTTTTTACTTTGTTGCTGGGTGACACTAGCAAAAACAACAACAGATAAACAGAACAAGCATAAATATATACTCTAACTATACTGTAGCTGGCCATTTCTTATCTACTGCTATTAATAATAAACTTTTATTT